TCTCTCAAGGCCATTCCCTCTGTCCACTACAGGACCATGATGTAGGCAAGGGTTAAATTCTCTTTCCATTCTGCCACTACCATCCATTCTGATCACTTACATCCATTCTGATCATCACCACTTACATACTCCATGACTACTATTTTTCACAAAGAAAGAAGCTTGCATCTAGCTGCTAGTGGTCTTTAGCATGCTGTAGCAGAGCATTGAAGAGTATTCAAGTGGCACTCCGTAGCACTCTAATCTTATTTTCCATTTCCATTGCCTTCTATTCTCCAGACTCTTCATAGATTGATAACATATACAGTACCTTACAAAGATGCCATGCTTCAATAGACTTTTTTTTAAGCTGTTAACCTTTCTTTCATGTTTTGGCTAATCTTTTTAGGCTCCCAGATCCCACATTACAGTTGGGAATGGTAGCATGCATTGAGTTTTTCTCTGAAATTTCTAGGATGGAAGCATTAGAATGGTGCCTAGTCTTCACATTTTGGAACTGTTGTTACAACATGTATTCAGATGTATTTATCATTTATCATTCACTTCTTTCGCAACCCTGTGCATGATCATTGGTTTTTAAATACTGATTTTTTTTATTTGTTATTTTTTAATCAGTGCTGCTTGGTAATGCCAAACAGCCAGCATTGGGTTTCTTAAATGGAGTGACGTAAATCCATGCAGAGGAGCAGGAGTAAGTAGCAGATTAGCAAACAGAGCTTCCTGTTGAACATGGACGTGAAAAAGGGTGCTTTAGAGAGAACTATATCTTCGGCACAATGTTTGTGCTCTAATGATACTTGTGTGTGATTTGTACATTGGTGTAGTCCTCTATCGGAGCAGATTATAAATAGTTACCTCTTTGGAATAGACTTCTGGCCCCAAAAGTACCATGCAGTGTGCTACAATCTTGTTGGTAGAGCTGCCATTTACCCAATTAACTGATTACATTTATATTTGGGAAAACAAGATAACATACATAAGACTTTCCCCTAATTTTATTCCCATAACAGCCAGCCTATGAGGTAGTTTGGGGGTGAAAGAGACTGAGTGTCCCAAAGTCACCCATGACTTAGAAGGGCCTTGAACCTCCTATCTCCTGTCTGTCCAGCACTGGCAGACACAGGAAGCAAAATCTAGATATTCCAGTCACTCTCCTCTTAAATCTTTGGCTCGGGGCAAATTTTGGAGAACAGAGAGTAGGCTTGGACAGCCAAACCTTAGTTCCTCACAAATTAGAGTTGTTGTTTTAAATTCAAGCCATGCTACTGTTTATTTTCAAACAAATGTCTTTGTCCGAGGTAAGGCAATTTTAAATCACAAAACGCCTTTCTCCTACATTATTATATTGCCATTATAGCATTTTATATATCTATATCTATATCTATATCTATATCTATATCTATATCTATATCTATATCATCTATACATGACAAAATTTGTTGGGAGTGGAGTTGGTGGCTATAATAAATTCAAGTAAATAAAAATAAAAAAGTTCCCTTTCTCTCTCTCCCCCTCCCCTACTCCCCTAGTAGATATCCATTAGAGGTTCTTTGCTAATAACTGAACTAGTGGTTTCAGGTTTGCTTTGTAATAATAAAGGGTTGGTTTGCAGTTTTAAGTGTTGTGTCTGTGTAGGTTTATATGAAAGTTCCTATGATTATAATCAGGAAAGGTAGCAATAGTAACATCATAAAGAAAACTTAACTGACAAGCATTTTGCAATTGGGCTCAGTTTAGGCCCATAAAATATTTTTGCAAAGTCAAAAGTCCTACCCCACCCTCAAACACAACAACTAGTTGTGGAAGAAAATGATATGCACAGCCATCTCTGTTGATTTCTATGGTTTGGAATTGTGGCTTTCAAAACAGACCTGTTACATTTCTCAATAAGCATGTAACATTGATCACAGCATTGACCATCACTGAGTGCATTTTAAAAAAATCATTCTACTAGTGTCTCTTTAACCTCACTTTTGGTACTATACTAAAAAGGACAGAAAAAAATTTGCCACTGTTTAACAGTGTTTGCTCAGAGGATTGCTTATATATGTGAAGTTATTTCTTTGGAACCTTCTTGCAGGATATGGTAGTATTAGAGATTTCATTTCAGTCTGATCTTTGCACTTCTGGTATTTCAGAGAGTTTACTCTATGCTCCCTGATTATATCCAGGGTGCACAATGCGATTGGATGACATTTTCATTTTCCCTCTATGCTCTTCTCCCTAAACATAACGGTAGTTTTAGTGCAGATGCTGATCTAGTTTCAACAAGCTGTCAAAAAGCTCAGTGCAATTCAAACACCATCTTGAAAAAGATGACACAGGTTTCTAAAGCATAACTTGTCAGAAGGTGGCATGAAGCTGATACCAGAACATGTAGTAATAGTTACTTTATTGCTGCTATTAAGTATTTGAGGGTTTTTGGTGGGTTTCAGCCAAGCATACATCTGTTACTGATGTAGCTTGCTAGTTGAGCATCATGGGATAAGATGGATCTCCTTGGCCTGTGACCCACGTAATTCAGCTCACCAAGTCATATATTGTGTCTCCCTGACTTTGCAGCAACCTTAGGTTGCATCAGGAGTAGGTGGTTTTTAGAGTATAGTACACCTATAGTAGACCAGCAGATAAGCACTCAGCTAAACTGGTCACTAAAATAAGGTATAACCTGGTATTTTAATATATTTTCAGCAAAGACTATTGCACTGTAACTTGCCTTTATCTCATCTATTATGCTCTAATTTAGATTATTGTTATTATTACTATTATTCTACTGTTGCTGCTGTCTTGACTGGCACTCTTCTTATCTATTAGGTTAGCTGTGAGTAACAAATGTCATTGCTCTTATACTACATCACTCCACAGTTTCCCAAGCTGTGATTTTAGCCTCTTTGCCCTTTCTATTGGCTTGTTATGTGTTGGCTTGTATTGGTACATCACACACATTTATGTTGATTTTACATCCTTATTTGTACTTTTAGAATAATGATAAGATGTTAAATACTGTTTTTGACAGTTGTTAACTTTGTGCTATGAAGTCACTCTGAACCCTAGGTGAGCCATTTTGAAAATCAGTTGTGAAGTCAGGCTGTTTGGTCAACAGTGATGAGTGGCTGCAGTAAAAAAAAAGAGAGAGAGAGAGAGAGGAGTTGGAAAGAGAAGAGATAGCATCTAAATTAATAAGTCCGTATAAGGCTTGCAATATTCAATAGGAGAGGTCAGCTTTCCCCAACTATGTGCCATCCAAACATATTGAGACAAACACCACTAGAAGATGCCAGGTTGGAGTGGATGGTACTAGATAAAGAAGACAATCGGGGAGAAGAGGAAAAGGAAGCAGCAAGTTGCCATGATCCCTAAAAGTTCCGGCCTACAAAACAGGCCCCTAATAGCAGAAACTGCATCAGATTTTAAAGGCTAGTTTTCTTCCATCCAGCAGTAAACTGAACCCTTTCATGTCCATTAATCTAGTTTTATTTTTGTTAATATCAGCATATCTGCTCTCATTATAAAGTAAAACTAATTATAGTGTGATAATTGCTGTGCTCATTCTGCTTCTGTAATTATAGAGAATGTAAAATGAGCAAGAGAGTATTTTAATGGGGATTTTTGATAGCTTTAGTAAATAAACTGCATCTTAAGATTAATGTTCATCTTACAGAAAGGAGGGAAAAAGGAAACCCAAGATCTCGTTAAGATAAAGACACTCTTAATAAGGGGTACATGTCATTTCTATGCATGTCAGTAGCTTATTGGAAAAGACGTATTTGGTAATCAGAAAATATCTAAGGTTTAATCTCTGGAACCTAATAGAAAAAAAGTCAAGGAAGAGATTTCTCTGCATAAGATCCTGAAAACTGCCAGTCACAGTAAATCATACTGGGGTAGCTGGTGAATGTTTTACCTTGATATAAAACAACCTTCCAATGGAATTTGTGAACAGATATTCTAAGTAGGTTGTGTCATGCAATCCATAGGATTCAACTGAAGACATTTTTTTTTAGTTCTGAGCCATGCTTTTTTATCTAAATAAATAAATAAATACAGTTTGAACTTGCCCCAATTCCTATCTTCTATCACCATTATTACCCATTTGCTTTGGGGGATGTTTCAATTTATTACTACAGAATTTGTAACTTAAATGCTCACATTGAGCAAGCAGTGAAAACACTAGAAATAATTAGGCTTTCCTTCTGTGAATCCCCAAGCAAATAAATTATCATTTAAGTATTCGTCATCTCACTGTTTTCTACCTTCTTTTTCCCACAGGGTGCCCTGACAATTTTACCGATTCAAAATGTTTAAATCCCATTATGGCTTTTCAAGGTTGCATGAGACTCATCTTTATTGATAACCAGCCCAAGGACCTCATTTTAGTTCAGCAAGGCTCCCTGGGGAATTACAGTGATTTGCACATTGATATCTGTGGCATCAAAGACAGGTAATTATTCTCCCTTCTTTTCTTTTGTTATGTTCTTTTCTTTCAGCCAAGTGGTTTATAAGTATAGTTTTGCTATAACTGGACATTTTAATATGCTATCATTATTAATATTAGGTTTAACAGAGTCGCTACTGCAAAACATCACTTCAAAGCAATGATAAATTGTGTGAAATGCGTGCTCGCTCGCTGTCTCTGGCAGTTTGTGAAAGATGGAGTATGCAAATTAAACCACGCTGTAGATTTGTGCAAGGATTAAATTATATACCCAAAGCACGTTTGACAGCTTTAAAGTTTAAATAAATAGGAAATCCATTGTTTGAATCATCTAAATATGCCTTCTCCTCAACTCGTTTTATTTGAATGAGTTCTCAGTTGCATGCTATAGTGAACCATGTAGATTTTTAGAATAGAGCCAAAATAAAGTAATATTGATCTTGCTAGAAATCAAATTATTTTAGGAATCATCTTGAGGATCAGGGTGAAACATGAAAGCACAGGTTCATTCTTAATTTACTGCTCTAGGATTGTTGTTAGTAGCAAAGAGGAGCTGCCTTTTCATGACAGGATAGAGAAGCTTTAGGAAACGCGGTTATTTACTTTTAGCTCATAAATGACAAAGATATTGATGTACAGCAATTAGTCTAGAATTGTGAGCTAGTACTTATTTACCAGTTTGCTCTATTTTTGAGAAATTACTGTATCCTTAAAGCATCTGTTGTTGTGTCCAATAACCACCAGGCTTGATTTAAAAATACATTTTACTTAAAAATATGAAACTAGAAAGCAAAGTACCAGATTCCAGCATAAACTTTGTTCCCAAAAATTCCTCTGGACCTTACAGACCCCACTGCCATTCTTTGAAATTACAAAAGCAAATTATTGCAGCCCGGTGTTTTCATTAGAAGCATGCCCACCTTCCTAGAAAAATAATCCAAAATTAAAGTGTTAGGGATATTTTGGTGGGGGAGTGGAATCTGGCAGAAATAATATTAATATACAAGGTATGCATCGGGTAATTTCCTATTAGAACTGGCAAAGCACATATTCCTCAGGGGGAATGTCACTTGGTTTACTTTTAGAAGCTATACAGGTACGCCTTCTTCTTTTCTATATGGTTGTATATTGGAGAGTTTTCTGATTTTTATTGGTTCACTTTTCCAGGCTGCATTGGTTTTGGAACAGCCCTGATACTAAAACCTGCATAAAGAACAGATGCATAAAAGCAGCTACTGTAGCACTTTTAGATGTGTATACTGAAGATCTTCCAGGCAAGGAACCTTCAGTGCTGTTTGCAGGACTGCTTCTCTTTGCACCCAGTCTGGAATGTCCTTACCATGCACTGAAAGTCTGTGGAGTCCTTGGTGCTCTCTGAGCCTGGTTGTTTGCTTGCAGATGTTTCATTATCCCACTAGGTAACATCATCAGTGCTAGTGAGTGTCGGGTTTTCTCCCTGTTTCTATACAGTAGCTTGCCCTGCCAGTGTTGGTGGGGGTGTGGTTTTCTCCTTGGTAGTTCCTTGATTAGGGTCTTGTTTTTTTCTTGATTGTTTTTCTGTTTTTAGTCCCTGCTTTTCTGGATGTTGGGTGCT